TTTTTCGTTTTTTTTTTTTTTTTTTTTTTTGGCTACAGGGCATGTGCGTTCGCCAGACAGACCGAGAGAGACAGAGAGACAGAAAGCGAGAAATCACCCCCCCAGGGGAGATGACCACGCCACAATCCCTTCTCCTTCATTCTCCCCATGGGATCCTGGGCACGCATGCACACGTGTCTGGCGTGAGTCTAAGCCACCAGGTCCAGGACTCGAACCGCGGTCGACTACATGGGATGATGAACAATCTGGACTCATTGTCATATCAAGAGTCCAGCGACATAGCCATTATGCTAACTTGTCTGGCCTTCTCCTGCGTCCTGCGGTGCAAGCAATCTTAGGCATTCCTAATCTGGTGTTCACATCATTCTCATCTCTCCCTCTGCAGCACGTGGCCATCTTCAGCTGTGTTGCTCTGTCTCTGTGTGCAAATGTCCCTTGAATGCTACAGTGAAAGGTGGGGATCTGAAAGAGAATTTTACAAAAAAGGGTCAGGACCCTGGACCCCCAGAGCGGCCTGGGGCAAGGCCTCAGTGCCCTATCAACCCTCCATCCCTCTCCCCCGACGTTTCTTAGGTCTCAGCCTCCCCACTGAAACCTCAGTTTTCCCATTGATCAAGACCTCCAGGACACCTTGCTCCCTCCTGCTGGGCCTGTGCATGCAGTACCCACAATGGCCTCTGGGGGACAGTCTCTACCCACCTTTCTCAGGAGCTGCCTGGAAAGTGAACTGGCCACCCAAGTGGCTTCCGTGCTTAGGAGGCAGCACACCCGGGTCAGCTTTTTGGTCTCCTCCTCCCCTAGTGGGACTGATGACCCGTTTGACCCATCATTGTGACCACCTATGCCTGGCACAGGGGTCCTGCACCCAAGGGGCACCCAGACAATCCTGACTACAGGGCAGACATTGGGGACTCAAGGATAGAAGGAACTAATACGGTGGTGGAGAGTGGGCAGGCCAAGTCGTAACCAGACAGGGCCACCCCTCATACCTTGATGACCATAAAGGTGGCATTGTCCCACAAGTAAAGGGATCAAGGTCACATGGTTGCCCAGCCCTGCAAAAGCAGGCCAGTGCTCTTGGGCTAGATGGTGTCCCATGGGCTGACACACCTGGGGTCAGTGTGGTGACCCCAAACACAGCTTACTGTGGATGTTCAAATGGAATTTTTAAGCAACAGGCATTTCCTGGAAAGGGGATGACAGAGACAGGTAAGGGGCGGGGGCTAGATACCCAGCACCTTTTGGGCTGAGTCCTGGGACCTCAGGTCACATCAGTGAGTCGCCAGGCAGTCATGATTATCTGCCAATATGCAGGGCTCTGGGCTATGGAATGGACACACCTGGGAGCCACAACAGGAAAACAGGCTGCATTATTAGAAGTATAGTTTCCAGAAGAGAGGAGGTGAGTGCTGTTTCCCCTCCTCTTGCCCTAGCGTGGTACTGGGTCTGTTCTGATGAGCACATTTTGAGGGAGTTTGGCAGACCCAAGCATCGTGGGATGATGAACAGTCTGGACTCATTGTCATATCAAGAATGATTATAGGTTGTGATAACAGGGGACAAAGTAATAGTCTGACTTGGGAGGGGGTGACCTTCCCATCCCGGAAGCAGAGACTGGATGAAGTCAGCTTCCTCGGCTTGAGTCAGAGATCAGGATGTCTGTCTCAGCCCCCTCTACTCCTCTCGCCCAGCAACCAGATCCTCCAAGTCTGATCACTTTGACCCTTTGCTTGAACCCCTTGGCTACTCTTAGAGTGAAGACCAGACTCCCCAGGGCCCCCCACTGGCCCTGCCCAGGCTGTCCCACCCTCACCCCATCCTGCTCTCATTCGGGCCATGGTCCCTCTCGCCTCACTGCCTTAGCTCGGGCTGTGGTCATGTGTGCAAGCACCTGTCTTCTCACCAACTCCTGCTCCCCCTCCCGGCGTCACGGCTCTCTTTAGGGGCAGCAGGGCCGACTTCCCAGCCTGCTCCTACCGTGACAGCCTCACACAGCACTGCCCTCATTCGTCATGTCTCCCTTGGCTATAGCTTTCCGTGCCTTCATCCCCTCCTACATTGTCCGAGAGGACAGAGATCATGGCAGCTCTGCTCACGGCTGTTACCCCCAGTGCCTGCACAGCGGCCAGCACACAGCAGGGCTCAATAAAAACCCAAGAGTAAAAGGAGGGAGAAAATTGGGAAGGAGGAGGAGGCTCGCTGGAGAGGAATGCTGGGCCAGTTCCAGGGTGAGGGCCGTGGGTGTCAGAGTTGACAGGAAACATTCGTCAGCTTTCTCCAGGTTACACTCCTGTAATAGACATGCCCACATGTGTCAGAGGTTGAGACACGTGATGGTGGCTCTGTCCCGTGTGCCTCTCCTTTCTGTGTTTCTGGCTAAAGGAAGGGCAGAATGTGGGGCGATCATTCTCCTGGAGAAGGTAAAGACCAGGAGACTTGGTGGAAGCTGCAGTGGCTCTTTAAGCTTCCCACCGGGCTTACTTAGCATGCAGCTCACCTCCCACTGGCCAAAGGGCATCACCTGACTGGGTGGAGCAGGAAAGATACTCCTCCCACAGGGAGGTGCTACAAGTCACAGGTAGGGCTCTGTCTTGCAGAGAAGGGAGGAGGGAATACTGAATGATGGTCATGCAGAATTCCACCCGTGTCATGCCATGGGCAGCAAAAGCCGGAGGCGGGCTGCTCAGGAAGAGCG